TTCCCGGAACACAGCCCGGAAGTCCCACACCAGCCATACCTAATACTCCTGCTTTCTCTTTTCCTGACAACCACCCCCCTGTGAGGTGGGTTGGGCTGAGAGAGAATGATTGGCCCAAAGTCTCTCAGCTGGCTACTGTGCCTAAGGGAAGACTAGAACTCAGTCTCCTGCTTTCTAGGCCAGTACCTTTAATCACTACAAGTAGTCCTCATGTAGTGACCATAACTGAGACTGGCAATTCAACTGTTAAGCAAAGCGGTAGCTAAGTAAAACTCTGACTGTGCTTATGATATTACTTTTTGCTTTACAGCCCTGCAAAGAGTTTAAATGCATGGATTGGTTGAAAAGCTACTCCTTCATCACCATCATAACAGCAAATGGTCACTAAACGAGGCGGTCACTAAACAAGGACTACTTACACCAAACTGGCTCCTATACTTGCTGCTTCCCCAGAAGTGCAATGTCTGAAGAGTTGACAGGCATTCTTAAAATTGTTGAGAAGCTATAGGTAATTCAAAAGCTTGCAGAATGATTTAAGAGAACACAAATAAAGACCAATACATTGACTATATATGAATGGCTATGGTACCAATACATACCCCTTCAGTTACATATGACATTCATTCAAATTTAAGTACTGTTTGTCTTCTCGCTTATGACCCAGCTGTAAGAAACTACATTCAGTAGAAGAGAAGACTAATAATGAAGCATTGGCCTTCTAATTCAATGGATGACTTCTAAAAGAATGGGTATGTACTTCACACACCTTTCATTTATAAACTTTCCTGCTTTATCTCTACTAATTTGCTTTTATACAATTGGGAGGCCAAATCTCATCTATATCTATAAAAAAGTGGATAAAATTGATCATTTGCCCAATTTCTGGTGTACCATTTGGTTTCCTGCTTAAAAAAAACAGAACAAAGCTAAGCTACACAAACCTTTGCCTAATCCAGAAAGTAAAGCTTATGTCAGTTAACAAAAGTACACCTCTAAATCATTTAAAGCAGACAGGAAGTGTGAATTATTTACCATTCTTATTTGGTTAAGAAATTATTATCTTTTTTGGCCTTTTAATCTCTTTCTATTTAAGCAATTTTAATCTAATATATTTAAACAAAAAAAAATTAGATGCTTCACAACTAACAATCCTAACAATTTTATTATTACAGAAATAAAAACATTTATTTTAAGTGGTAATTCCATCAACATCTTGGAAGATATTATTTGCATATGTGTCTGGTTTTATTCTATTTGTACTGTATTTTATATTGTTTTTATTGTATTTTCATTAATATTTATTGTTATTTTATTGTGAACCGCCCAGAATCACTTTTTCGTGACATGGGCGGTATCTAAATTTGAAATATAAATAAAAGAAATAAATTGCCCCAAAACAGAATTTTTGACAGAAACTCTAACCCTGTTTGGTATTCCACTATTGCCTTAGAGTTAGAGCTCCCAAGGTATTCAGTATACATCCTTTGTAATTCTGTATATTCAAATTTGGTATTTCTGTATTTCTGTTCTGTACTTGGTTTTTAAATGTGACATAAATTATTATTACTACTAGAATATAATAATTAGCAGAGCTACAATTTCAACAGCTTCTGTTCCATTTTGCATTTTGATTTATAGCCACTGAGTGGCACCATACAAATTGCTGTTGCCATTTGATTGAGAGAGGAAACTTCATTATTGCTTTTATTATTTTAATACTAATAATAGTAATGTTACTGGTTTTCAAATAATTATTTGCCCATGGCGCTGAAGCTGATTCCTAATAAATTTTATCAGCATATTCCTAATCTCCAATTTGAGTCCAAATTAAATGAAGATCTGTATTTTAAATATATTTGCAGTTCAAAACTGGGATCACCCCCAACATTGTTAACAAATCACAATGCAATTCCCTATCAGCTTCCAAATTCTGATAACCATTTTAAAAGTCCCATTACATATATTTTAATGAATGTTACCTAAGGCTCAAACTGAAAATACTAGGAACTCACATTTGAATATTCCTGCTATACAGAATAATGTTTGGATTATTCCAGATCCAATTTTGGGGTCACAGACAATTGCCTGCTTCTGTTCAGCATATAGATCCCTGTTTTATTCCAAATTTTACAGTGGGAAAAGAAATGTTAAAAAAAAAAAAAAATCACACACGGCACTATGTAGCATGCTTTGGCTTCACATGTGTGAGCCCAGCCATTAACAGTTGATTCAGTTAAGCAAACCACACTTTAGTGCAGGTTTTGAACATCTCATACATTTTCATACATCTTAAGAACTGGGCTGAGCAAAACCTGTTTCAAACGCATCTATAAAATTTAGAACAGACTTCCTCAACTTGGCACCATCCAGAAAAGTTAATTTTCCACCTCCTTCAAAACATCAGTCAAAATGGCCTCATACGTGGTGAACCTGCTGGAGAAGCTACATCGATCCCTTGCCCTCAGCTTTATTGCAACTCCCAGTATTCTCTGTCAGATACAATTTCAATATGCCCAAATGGTGGCAGGTTGTAGAAGGCTGTTTGAAGGTACTGTATCAGGTCAAGTGTTGTGATTTTAATGGGAATGACTATTCGCAGAAGAAGAAAGGATATGGAAATGGAATGAATGATGGTACTATGTATTTAATATTTAAACAAAGTATTATTTAATAATTTAAACAGATTTAATTTAAATTATTAAATTATTTAAATTAAATAATTTAAACAAAAACAGAATCTTTATTGGTGAGATATAAGAAGCAAGTGCAACAACAAAATACACCACTGGGTATACAATATATAAAAAAACCTTATGTACCTTACAGTGGTTAAAATAAAAGAAATCAAACACAGATACTGTATATAAAAAGATCTATGTAGTATCCATTTAGTATTAATACAGGAACTATTTAGTATTGATATCAGAACAAAAATGGGATCTGAGATGAACCAGATAGGAATTACGGTCACAGTGTCAACATTGCTGTAAAAAGCAAGGGAAATTCCATGCTTCGTAGCATTAGGAAAGGATCTGAAAATAGAACAGCCAATTTAATAATGCCTTTATAGAACTCCATGGTAAGATCACACTTGGGAGTATTATGTACATTTCTGGACATTGCATCTTAAAGATAATATAGAGCTAGAAAACATGCAAAAAAAGGGGGGGGGGGACAACCCAAATGATTAGGGTCTGAACCATCTTCCCTTGCAAAGAAAGACTGTAGCACTTGTAGTGTTCGGTTTACAATAGGTGGGCAAGGAAGATATGATTGTGATACGTCAAATGACACAAAGGGCAGAAGAAAGGGAATTTTTTTCCTTCAGAGTTAGAACTCAGGTCACCCACTGAAATATAATGCAGGGAATCTAATTAACTTTGGAATTTGCTGTCAACATTTATGGTAATTGCAGTCAATTTGGATGGTTATAAAGAAGTCCGGAAAGGTCCATGAAGGATCAGGCAACTCATGGCTGCTAATACTGATTGCTTTTACTACATCCTGAATCGCAGGCATACAACTTAAATGCTGGCTGCTAGGAAGCAACAGTGACAGACTGATCTTCTAGTCCAAGCTTGTGAACTTCCCAAATGCATCCAGTTAGTCACTGGATGACACAGATTGCTGGATTAGGTCGGCCTGTGGCTTGTTCCATTCCAGTCCATTCCAATGTAAAAAAGAAATCCCCTAGAAAGAAATACTCATAAAAATGAATGTAATAAAACATGAAGGTCATTCACCTAAAATCCTAATTTTGTGCACCGTGTCTGTTTACAACGCACCACTTCACACCAAGCAAGTAAATAACCATTCCACAAGACATGCATAGGCTTTGCTAAAGTAGACCTTTGAACCAGCCTAAAGCTGTAAACCTGTGCATGTTTTCTAGGAGCCAAAGGTCACAGAAATGTATGGAACCTAATTCTGAATTGAAACATCAGGATTACACTATCAACCATGATCCTTTACGGTGGATTCCCAGTTTATTTTGAGAATAATTGTGATCTGGAGGGAAGTATCAGGGGGGAGGACTTAATCCCATCTTTTGTTTTGAAATTTCTTTCCAGGCTGGACATCCCCTCCATTCTCAGTAGACAGGCACACTTTTAGTCAAGAGGAAAAAACTGGGGAATTCCAGAAGGGGAAAAAAAGCAAAGATGGATGATTAGGGCTGAAAGACTATACATTCAATGCGCTTAGTTAGTTCTTTCTTCTACACTGTAAATTTTGCATACTGACAAAAGACAGAGCGTAGAAAACCTCTATTCTTGCCATAGAACGAGCTGCTAATATATTGTGCATTTGAAAGGTTTGTTGTACTACTGTATATCCATATGTATTCAGTTGTGTCATCATTGAAGTGCTTGCCCTTCATACCAGATACTCATCTTAAAACCTGTTCCTTTTGATTTCTAATCCAATTCTACTTCACCCCAAATTAGGACTATATCTGAATGGGAAATAGGGTAAAGAGGGAGAATGCAATAGTTTGGGCTACAGAGGCCCAAATTAAAAGATTGTGTGGGCTTGCAAATGTTTGCAATTCCAAAACTGAAACAGATTTTTCTCCCTCCTTCTTTAAACAATTCAGTGCCTATAAAGGCCAAACAACAGATTAATGTCTTGGCTACAGACACAAAGCTATTTACTAAGTGTGAAAGAAGCCTGCCCACCCACAACATTTCCAGCTCTAGTACTGCAGAATTTCAACTTTATACTTAGCCCATTTATTATGAAGTCTAGACTTCTGGCTATTTCGTAACAGTAAGACGGAGCTTTTAACCATGCAGAGAAATGAACAGATGCCTTAGTAAACATTAATGGAGAAATGCTAAATGTTCCACTTCAGTTGGATATTGGCTGGAAACTGAACTGAAGCTTATTTTTAGTCCTTGGAATGCTACAACTGAGGCTTCCTGGAGAATAGAGGCAACTCTCCATACAAACTATAGGACAAGCTAGCCCCAATGTAAAATTTTGCTTTTTGAAAAGGGTCAACTTAGAGTGCCTGTAGCAGAGTACAGTGTTGCGAATCTTTTTGCCACGCGCATGTACATATAGCAGGAATTATTATCCCTCATGGCCAATAGGAAAGGATGCTTGAAATTACAGTTCACCACCATCTCTTTGAGTTACAAATTATACATAACAAATTCTATTTCTATACTGCTTCTTCTAAATGTTCAAAGCATTTGGAACCTATCATATGTCAACTGAAAGATAAGGAATTTGTTCATATTTGTATTTCAGAATTACTTTCAGAACTACAGCCAAGCTGAAATTTGAGTCAGGGGCTTTCTCGCATGCAACTAATACTCTTTAATGACAACACTATGTAGGTTGCTTCGCAGAATTGGTTAGTGATCCTGAAGATTATGTTTTTAATTTCATATACCATGTCACTGAAAACACTCTCCATACCTTGGTTTCCCCTGTAATCACATGGTTTTCATTCTAGCAATAAATGATATGAAATATTTTAATGTAATTATGTAGTGGCAACTCTAAGCCAATCAAATGTTACATATCTATAATAAATTCTGAAATATAGTAATTAGCATAGAACATACAAAGAAGGGAAATATATACAGACGTACACAAAAAACATCATAGCCCACACTGAAATCTTTTGAAATCACAGATGAAGGAAGCATGTTAGAAGAATTCAACATCTTAATTCAATACCCTTGGCAGATTTCCTTCCTCTTGTTTTTCCTCATAGAAAATGGGCCCTTGAAATAGAGAATATGGCTGCCATTCTTTGCACAACAGTTACAGAGAGGAGAGGAACACGTGCCTGTATGTCCTAAATACTCGTACACCAAACTGGTGCATGTGCACACTCTAAACATGATCAGGAACATTGACAGTGTACAATTCTCATGCCATGGAACATCTCTAAGTGAAGAGCAGGCTCCCATAAAAATGTATTTCCTGGAATGAAGAATTGCAGGGAGACACTAGTGGTAGCAGGCCTATTCGTCAGCAGTGAGTAACTAATATTAGATCAAATCTCAAGTCCAGATGCACAGTGTCCAATGTATTATCCTAATCCACTAAGCTGGTAGCTCTATCATAATACACAATAAAGTTATTACTTGCCAGAAGAGAAAGGTAGGCTATAAATAAAATAAACCCTGGAACTCTCAGACCCAAATATTAAAGTTTGCCTGATACAATTTAACGGATTTGTTCAGGTTGCCTGAGCTTTCAGATTCAAATATAAGGTTTCAAAGTACACACTGAGTACACACATTCAGTTTACATTCTCAGGCTCTCTGGAATGACATAATATCCACAAACAAGGGGATATTGTTTAAAGTCTTTCCTTCGTCAAACATATAAAGTTAACTGCTCAAATAGTTTGGCAACAAAATAAGAGTCTGCTTTCTAATTACTCATTGTTTCACAACTGTTCTGCAAATATGACTTAAATTACAGTAATTATAAATAACCAAGCAACCTTTAATCTAATGCAATCTATGGAACACAACATGCAATTTAAAGTTGATTGAGTTGAAAGCTAAAATAAAGTCATATATTCACATGGGAGGAATCTCTTCTTTTTGCACCATATTTCAATAAGATGTTACTTTTTTTTTTTAATGTAGATATATGGGGAATACAGACTGTTTGTGTTTGAACATAAAATACTTTGACTTTAATATGATCAGTTCAGTTCTGGAATGGCCACCTATTCCACAGCTAATTAAATTTGGCCACAGGCAGAGATGTAAAAGGAATCCTAAGAATATTAACAAAAAGAATCCAAAGTTACCAATGGAAAGTGATGAGGTCACATTAATTTCGTCATTTGATGCAAAAAGCTTGGATAGGCCAGCAGACTCTGGGAAACAATAATGAGGTCTAGAATGTATAAAGGTTCTTCAAATTTATGCTGGAAATGTAATCAACAAGAAGAGACATTTTATCATGCTTGGTGGCCATGTAAAAAAGCCAGAAAATTTTGGACTCAATTACATATAATAATACAGAAGATTTTAAAGATTAATATACAATTGAAACCCAAGGCTTTTCTTTTAGGACTGATGGATAAGCAGCTGGGAAAAAAACCATGGAACTTTGTTTTTGTATATGACAACTGCAGAAAGACTATTATATGCACAAAGGTGGAAAGATCTGACTTTACCCACAATGGAGGAATTGATTGTGAAGATGATGGAACTTGCTGAGATGGCCAAACTGACAGCTTTAATTAGAGACAGGACACTGTCTAAGTTTAATGCTGATTGGAAACCCCTTATTGACTTTTTGCAGAAAACAGAAAAAAATTAAATTATGATATATGGTTTTGACGATTATGAAAAAATAGATTATAGAAAAATGTAAGCAATGTTGTAACCATAGAGTAAGAGGTCAGTTTACATTTATAACTGCTGTAAAAGAAAATCAGAAGTCACTTCTTTCCTTTTTCTTTTTTCACTCTAAATATTATTAGTTTCTATCTTTTGTTTTAAAATTCTGATAAAGATATAGATATAGATATGAATGAATGAGAGAGAGAGAGAGAGAAACAGTACTGAGGCAATGGCATGCAAGCGCCAAAGAAAGAATTACAGAATGTGGATATGCTCTACAAGGTATACATTTGCCTGATACTATGAAAGATAATTGATCTGTCTAGTCCAGGATCTGCTCTCACTGCAAAGCTTTCTATGGGCTGGAAGTCCTATCAGTCTTGCTATCTAAGATCCTTTAAAGGATGGTACATCCTTTACATTTTAGATAATCATCTTAGTCGTGAATTTGTAACATCAGAGTTCATCCTTAGCTGTAAAAAATATACATAGCAGTGCATAGTCCAGAGGCCAGAGTGAGCTTTGCAAAACCGAAAGAAAAAAATATAAATAAATATTGCAAAAATTACAAGAAAACAAATAGTAGGGTTTTTTTTAGACAATCAGTAACAAATCTGGTTTCCATCACATGAAATTTTCTTGCAGGACAATTTTAAAATCTTTCCAAAATGTACAGATTTTTCTTATTAGACTGTGCATGAACACACACATTATTTGAGCAGAAGAATCAGGTATAAATAAGGAAGAAAAACAAAGTCTGAGTTTTTTAATGCCTGGACAGAGAACAAATACTTACCAAAGGTTCTAGTTCCTTACGGTCTATGAGGTTGAGCTCTGTGACAAAATAATAAAAGTGCTTGTAACAGGTATTGACGTGGGCCTCAGCCCCCATGATAATGATGCGGTCAAAGTGATGAATGTAAACGTGTACAAACACCCGAAATAGCCTGCACAGGATCTTTTTGCAGATCTGGAGGAAGTTTTTTGGAAATGGTACACCTGTGAATAGAGAAGAGATGATTGACATTTTTGTTAGCTGAAAGTGTAATGTTTTTCAGGAAGTTTCTGCTAAATGAAGCTGATCATATATGTATCCAAGATTTTTCACAGTAAATACACTGGCTGTTGAATCCCTTTCCCACAAAAGCTCAAACAATATCTACAATGTGGTATTTTCAGCGCTAGATTAATATTTTTTATTCTCCCAGGCATTTATTCCCTCCCTCCCTCGTATGGCCACCTATCTCAAATGATATTGTATATCTTTTGATGCATAACAATAGTTTTTGCTGGTTGTTGTTGTTTCTAAATCAGTCTTCTTCTGGGACTGGTTTCTATTCTGTTGGCTTACTGGGTATCTGTTATTTCTCTCTCTGATTTTAATTTAATAATAACAACCACAATAACTTTGTTGCTAAAGTCTGCAGCAACCAAAATAAAGGTTACTGCAACAGCATAGCATAAGCCTAAAACATAGATTTGAAAGCTACATTTATTTCACAATGTTTATAGACCACCCCAATTTAACTAACTCTGGGTAATATACATGAGCAAATCAATAGCTCTACAATTAAATTCATCACCAAAAAGCAACAACCAATACATTTATTATACTGATGACAATAACAGTAATAAAAACAAGAACTTCAAATAGTCTTTCAGTCCAAAGGCCTGCTGAAATAAAACATAATAATACAGCTAGCATTCATTAAAAAAAAGTGGCATACTATCATGGTGATTATAGAGAACATAGTTACAGTCCGAGATCCTGCATTTTGTTAATCCAATCCTATTCAGGTAATTTGAGATTCTACCACTTTACCTAATTTTTGTGTTAAAAGGGGCATTACATGAACCTCCAAAGAGGTATTATACCTCACCAAAGTTTTCACAAAGCACCCTTTCAAAGTTGGTGGTCCCCCACTTCAATGAGTAATGTAGCCATGTTGCTCTGTTTTGCTCTGTTTCTGAGCCCTTCTTAGCCTTCTCCAACTGGGCTCATACTATAAGAAAAAGCTGAGAAATTTTTTTCAGCAAGGACTGCAGAAGAACTTCCCATGAGCCTATTTAAGCAGCACTGGTTGAATTGCTTCCAGGATGACAGCTTCAGCATATACCCACAAGTTTGCTGAAGATGGACAACCTGGGACACCCCTGATAGGCACCAAAGGTCTTCCAGGATGAGCAACTAATGAATGTTGTGGGCAATTCCAGAGTGTACACTGAAGCTGCCCAACATGGAGTCTCTCCCATATTGCTGGGTGAACACTAGAGGAGATGCCTCTCACTTTCTCCTCCAGCAAAAACTGCTGCAGCACTGGATGACAGATGTGGTTCAGAACTGCCCAAACTGATTCACTGAGGCAAAGCGAGGGCTTTACCTCTGCTAACTAAATCACATTGCCTCCACAGTGCTAGTCTCTTCACTTTCACTTCACACAGGCTTAACATGAAAGTAGCAGAACTTCCTATAAAACTGGGAGCACAGTAATTCACAGCCCATGAATTTTATCTTCCCTCCCACATGGACAAACATAATCTGTATAGCAATGTTTCAGTAGATTTTCCTCCAATAGTGCTGAAGGTAAGGTGCAGAAACATGCTAAGGTAAATATTAGATGCTGTGCAATTAACAGATAAGAGCAGGACCTCTTCTAACTCCCTACATGTTGAGTGAGCAGAAACAGGAGTCTGATATTTTCTGATTTAATTTGCCTATCACATGTAGAAAACATCAAAAATAAAATCATACAATTATAAAAATATAGTTAAAAACCAGAAAGCACAATATAAAATCATATCATAAATACGGCAATACATTGATTCAGTAATTCAAAATTCAAAAGCCATTCAGTACTCTGAGCTCCTGGCTTGTACATATGGGAGAAATTGCTCCTTCAGGTAAGTAAGGTTCAATCTGTTTTTCAGATTTATGTCAGAGCACACAGGTGTTTTGCCAGGACTGCAATGGTGGCCTGTAGAATTCTACATTAAATTCAGGGTGCTCTGATATATAAATCTGAAAAACAGATTGAACATTACTTCAGACCTTCAGGAAGGAGCCTGACTGCCACATTGGACCCACTGTACAGTAATTTTCTGTGTTTTCCTGAAGGGCATTTCCACACAAAACACATTATAATAATCTAGGAGGGAGGTAACCACTGCATGGGTAATGTGACCAGAATGGATTTTTCTGGGAAGTGGCACTGATGGCAAATCAGTCACAATTGCAAATATGCACTCCATGTCACAGTGTTGACTTGACCTTTGACGAACAGCACTGAATCAAAGAAAATCCCCCAAACTGAGTTATGTTTCTTCAAGAGAAGAGATGCTGCATCAACTGCAGGTATAGTCCATTCATATGCATAACATTTCCCCCAACTACCGAAGTCAGTGTCGTTTCTGGATTCAGGTTTAGCCAGTTACATTTCATCCAGGCTACAATCCACCAAAGACCCCAACAGACATGATAAAAATGGAAAAGAGAAACAGACCTGAGTGTCATCCATGCAGGTGGCACCCAGCTTGACATCCCCTGATGACTGTTCCCAGTGGCTTCATATTGAAAAGCAAAGGGGACTATCATTTGATATCTGCCCTCAACTTAGGAATGGAACTATGACAAAGCTATGGCTTCTACTCAGTTCCCTAAAGTGGACCAGAAGGATATTCTAGTGATTATATAAAATGCTGCCAAAAGATCCAAGAGACTTCTTTTGCCTTTCTGATGATTAAAAAATGCAGGCTGGATATTACAGCAAGAAAACGATCCAAAATCTCCAAAATGAGGTTTTTCATCCAAAGGTTATGTTGGACCAATGCCCATAATTCCCATCTCATGTGGCCAAAAGCCAAGAAAGAACGAACAACAGACACTAGAATGAAAGTAATAAACAAAGCTTTATTAATAAAAATAATACAAATAAAAGCAATATACTCACACAGGAGAGCTGTGGCAAGAGAGGCCACTCATCATGACTTACATCCATGCTTAGGGGTTTTTAGTATACACATTTATAGCCCTTGGCTTCCCCCTCCCATCTAGCACAGAGAACCAACCTCAGAGTTATCCATCACAACATTGATGTTTGGGTTTTTTATATCAGCAAAAATGTGTGGGAATGGGATGGTAATACCTGCTCCCCACTCTGAGTACAGGAAAATGATTGGGGAGAACAGGAAGCTGGTTACATGACTAGCAAGAGCAAGAGGTCAATTATGTTGTTAGAGTGAGTGTGGTTAACCTTGTTAGTGAGCAGAAAGGCTAAAAGGGGCAAGCCACAAGCTTGTTATTGGAGCTTCGTAGCACAGAGAGCCAGCATGTGGTTTCCTTGGGGGAAAGCGGCAAGAAGAGGCAAGCTTGACCAGGCAAGGGTTCACATGCAGAATTTTATATCAGAATTGTAATCCAATACATCTGAAAAGCAGAAGACTGCTAAAGGCTATTTTAAACACCTCCCCATAGTGCTCACAGTGGATAGTACATGATTGCACACTCCACAGAAACTAGATAACAGTACTTGTTTTTACACAGTCTTCTTACTGCGTAAGTAGACCTTTTTCAGATAATCGCCTTCTGCCTCTTAAATCAAAAACATGAGAAGATATAGTGATAGAAAGATTAGCAAGAACACAAGACAATGGACTATGCTTAGGGAACCTTTGATTTCACTTTGAGATATAACCCACATCCTTCTAAAAGCAGCAATATGGAAAAGGGTCATTCAATGAACCCTATACAGTGGTACCTCGGGTCACGAATGCTTCTGTTCACGACCAATTCGGGTCACGAACAGCTCCGTTCACAAAATTTTGCTTTCGTTCGTGAACGCCGGATTGGGTGACGAACAGGATCTGTGGCCATTTTCCCTCCCGTGACACGTGGTCGTGGCTTCCTGT